AAACAAGTGCTTATTGATTGAACTGAAATCTGTATCATAAACCTAGAATTCTGTCTTTAACACAGACTCTTACATCCAGGTATCTACTTAACATTCCCACTTTTATGTCCCACCAGCACCTGAACTTTATATGTACTAAGCTGAACTCATACACACACACACACACACACACACACACACACACACACACCAAATTCTTCCAATCTTCCTCTACACTATCTTGGTTACCGCTATCCACCCAGTCACCAAAACCAGACACCCAAGAGAAATCCTTGCCCACCCCATCTCTCCCCACCCTACCCTCAAAAGTCACTAAGTCCTTTGGATTCTGTATCCTAGACATTCTTCAAACTTATCCCCTTCTTTCCATTTGCACTGCTGCAGTTCTAGTTCAAGCCTTTAAGTTTCACTAGGATATTCTTTTTATTACAGCAAATCTTCATAACATAAAATTTTACCATTTTAACCATTTTTAAGCGTACAGTTATATGGCCTTAAATACATTCACGTGTTGTGCTCACTAGGATTATTTTAATCAGGAGCTATCTGGGCTTCCTACCTATAGGTTAATCTGCTTCCATCCCATCCCTACATTCTTGTCTGTGTAATCTTTCTAAAGTGCAAATGGTGTTACTAGATGAATTAAAACCCATTCATTGCTTCCCACTGTCTACATTAGTGGTTTCATCACAAGGTTTTCACAGGTCCATGCTGAAATGGGAAAAATAAATAAGACAAAGTTTTTCTAAATTTTTTCAACTTCATGAATGACAACATTAATCAAGATAAATACTGAACATGCATGGGAGGCAAAATTAATTTAGTTTTAGATATGCTAAGTGTCATATGCCAGTGCAGTAAGCAAGAGGAGATGTCTTGAAGGCAGTTGGGTATTTGAGTCTAAAACTCAGAAGGGAGTTTTGGGATAGGGGCTGTGTATTTGGAAGTAATAAGCATGTACTTGGAATCAAGGAAACAACAGTTTTTGAGGAAAGTATGGAAAGCATAAAGAAAAAGGTGATAAAATAAATCCACATTAAAAAGACCAGCAGAGGAAGAACAGCCATAATCCTAAAAGAAAAATCTACATTTAAAGTCTTTTTCTCACCCTCCTGCCATGGTTGAAAGCAGGCAAGATCTTTGATACTAATGGCAAACCCTAAGTGAAGCATTTCAAGTGGTTTTTCTCTCTCCTCTGCTGGATGGAGGTTGTTATACATCTCTTGGATGTCCCTGTTTCTTTCTCCTTGAACAAAAAAATTTTAAAGCCAAGTATGTTTGATGGGATAACCTCATTGCCTAAAATAGAAGGAATAATTTTTCCAGAGTGAAAATTGTCAAGCCAATAAGAATTTCCACTCTCACATTAACTGATACAAGAATTAACTCTCAAAAATGGAACCTACAGTGAGATTTTTACTTTGGTACAATTCTGTTGGTGATGAGGAATTTGTTCTGTTTTCACTTCTTTCTGTTGGAAAAAAAAAAAATATATATATATATATATACACATATACATATATAATCAGTAAGAGTAATTCAAGCCCACCAAAATTTAGAAATAAGCCTTAAAAGTTGTGCTTTTGGAAGTAGTATAGCACATCAGAGAGATCAAAGAGGTGGTAATTAGACTTAATATTGCATCTTAGCTCCAAAACTCACTAGCAGTGGGACTCTGATCAAATTACTATCTATATGTTTTGGTTTTGTCAGCCAATGATGTCTACTCCATGGAGTTATCTTTGAAAATTAAGTGTGTGCATAATTTACTTCTCATAGTTCCTGGCACATAATCAGTATTAAGAATTACTTAACCATTTGGAGCACCTGGGTGGCTCAGTTAAGCATCCCACTCTTGATTTCCTCTCAGGTCATCATCTCACAGGGGAGGGGGGCGGAGATCAAGTCCCACATCAGGCTCCACACTGGGTCTAGAGCCTGCTTAAGATTCTCTCTCTCCCTCCCCCTCTGCCCCTCCTCCACCCCACTCACGCAATCTCTCTCTTTAAAAAAATTAAATTAATTAAGAAATAAGTTAATTTTTGAAAAAGAATTACCGTTTAAAATATAACAATATTCATTAAGAGTGAAAAATAAAAGTACACTGATTAAGAAAACTGGTAAATAACTATGTTCATCTACCTGATGGAAAAGTGTGTATTCCATTGTACATATACATTATCTGAATACACAGAAAACATAAAAATAACGTTAATTGAGAAAATAAGTTTTCTATCTAAAATATAGCTTTAAGTATATTTTTCAAGTTTATATAGAAATTGTACTCTAGCAAATAGTAGTTTGTAACTATTATTTTCTAATTCTGTGCACTGTCATCAATTTACTTTCCTAATGTGTTACTAAAATAGCAGGTGAAATACACTGACAATTACTTTCCCAATTTGACTTCAGTAAGAACTTGAGAAAATTTTTAATGAAGCTAAATAATCCATCAACCTATGGTCTGAAAGCCCTCGTGGAAGTAGCTTTGAACTGCGAACAAGAAAACCAGGCCCAGATACGTCACTGTTTTACCGCAGGCCTCGTATAAGTGTTTACCTGTCCTTCAGTTTCTTCATATTAAAAATGGAGAAATCCTAATCCTAGTTCTAACCCGTTTCCTATTTCATGAAGCCCTTGGGAAACTGTCACTGAGTAACATGTAAAGCAGTTGGAGCCCAATTTAGTAAGCTACATAATTTTTTAAAGGCTGTTGTCGTCTTGAACAGTAAAGAATAGCCCGTGGGTGAATCCTGCAAGCTGCTTCGACAGCCGTCTGCAGCCACCTTCCTCTCGGCACCGTCCACGTTTGGCAGGTGTATTCCACTCCTTACAGGAAGGGCTAGGTGCCTCATTGTGTTTCAGGAGTCAGTGAGCTTTTACGGAGCTAAGTAATTGACATTTTTTTTCACTTCTGAGATCAAATTTTCATACATCATTCAACCTGGATAAACTGAGAATGTGGTTGATCTAGTAATTGTTGAAACACAGTAAAGACAGCGCAAGACGTGATATTTAAGTATTTCCTTCTAACCTCTTACCTTAGCCAGACATGAGTTCTAAATGGAAGTATGTCCTAATGTATAAAAAGGAAACTGAAGTAGATGAGCCTGTTAGTAAAGGAGAAGTCAAAAGAGGCACAACACCGATTCATCCAGTAATTTGGGGTTCCACTGGTTCTGAGTTCATAGTAATAATAGTAACTCTGCAGAGTACAGCTCACTTTGACATTATGAAGAAGATTTTTTTGATAGTAGTATAAATGAGGGTGGAGGGATATAACTAACCACCTTGAAAGTAGTATTTTCTGGCTTTTTTACAATGTATGCCAAAAAATGCTGTTAAATGGCCTGTCAATATTTCTATCGGGAGTCCTTTTTTAACAGTTAATTGAAGTTACTATCATATTTTAAAAATACATTTAAATTGTCATACTGATATTTTTCTTGCCCCTCCTCCAAAGTTTAGGTTAGTGAAACTTTGTCTTAAAGAATTTATGTAATTCCATAAATCATCAATTTCAGAGTGTGTAAGATAGCACTAGTTTTTATCACTAAGGAAAATCCAACTAATACGGATTGGCCTGTGAACACGGTGAATTGTCCAGTGAATCTTCTCATTCAGTAGTCTGAAGCTGTTTTAGTGGACACATAATACTTTTGTATAATTTTTTACGTTTGAGAAATTTGTAGTAATAAACTTAGGCAAGATTTGCCTTTTTATTCTAAATACTAGCATTTCTCAAAGCAAAGATTTTTGATGCACTGAATTATTTTGTTTCATCCTCTTGTTTTCTGTTAACAGAGCTCAGTATATGCAAAATCATCCAATAAACTTGATCTAGCTTTCAGAGTTGCATGCAGCTGATTAGCCATGTAAACCAGCGTGTATGACACTAAGAATACCCTCATTCCTTTAGTGTCTAGCTCTGTGCTGTGTTTATTTGCAAAGGACCCTCATGCATGGATCCATATAAATGAGGCAAGCTGGAGCAGACTAGACTATGTTGCTCACCAGTCTTTGAGGAGGAAGATTGTGTATATGAAAACTGGAAGATTTCTCTGTGTGTAACATCAAACGGGATTTTTTGTTGAGGTTTTATGTTTTCAATAAAAAAATAAAAGGAAAAAAATCAATGGTCTGATTCCATCATCTCTTGTCAAGCAAAATCTCACTGATCTGCATGAATGCCATCTCCCACCCATAGAGTAGCCTAAGAACACTACAGAATGGACTTCTGAACTCTTAACTTTATTTTCAGTATAATTGGTGAATTTTTTCAGTCAACTAAAAAAAAATCACTTGTCTTTGACTAGAAACTAGAATCATTGCTAGGCTGTTTATATTACTCAGAATAGAAGCTTCTTTTTAAATGTACTACAGAAAGTCTGGTTTTTATTAGCATCAAATCATTTGTGTATATTTAAATGATTTTCATGCCCCTAAAACGTGAAGTTTTTTTCCAGCTGGCTAATTCCTAATTATTTTCATCAGCTGACTTTCGGGGGAAGGAAGAAATGTCATGTGTCAGAATTGTGTAGCATACCAGCGTGTCACTTATGTAGCTAAGTAACAGGTGTAAGAGCGATGGTATTTCTGTACTGAAATATGTACTTCTTAGGTAAAAATCAATTTGAAACTGCTCTGCATTTCATGTACCCTCTTCTCATTACATAGTAAATGATTCATCCACAGCCTTAACGCAAGCAGGTAAATGTACTGAAGTGAGTATGTTATATTTTTCATGTAGCATCTAAAGCTGACATAATCTGAAGATCTGGGTTAAAGTTTGTGTTGTTACTGTTTTTTTAACCTCAGATACTTGGCACTCTGCACCAGTGTGTCTTGCTGACAGTAATGCTTTGTCTCTTAACATGACTACCAGCACTGCTTGGTCACAGGCAAATACTGTTCTTTTTCAGCCAAAACATTCCTGACAATAACTGCACTTTTTGTATTCTTTCCCCCACCCCCTTCCCGCCCTCCTTCCCCCAACTTAGGTTGGAAAGGCTGGTGGACGTCCTGAGGAAGAAGGTTGGAACAGGGACCATGAGGACAGTGATCTGACTGAAAAAACGGCAGTCTGGGGAAGCAATCACATCTGGTGACCAGGCTGCTTCATTCAACACTGTGTAAACACTAAAGCCTTAACTTAGCAAACAGTTGTTAGAAGTGGGACACTCCAACCACATTCCAAGCTGAGATAAAATCAAATCACAAATGTTTAACCACTTTGCTGCTGACTTATTTATCCAAATGTATTAACTACAGACTTTTACCAATGAGTAGCTATAAAGTTGCAGCTTATTTTGTAACTATTTTATATCTCACTGTATTGAATATAAATCTTTTTACCGAGAGACCATTATAGGTCATATCTTCACAAATGGCCCTTTCTGAGTCAAAATGCAGCAAAGTAAATATTGTCTAAACCTAATCCACTGTGTTAGGTCAAAACTTCAAATACATGCATTTTTCAATATACAATTTATTTCTTAACTGATGAGAGAAGCTCAGACGTGAGAGTGTATAGTCTTCCTCCAATGCATACACATAATCTTTGTTAGTATTAAAGAATATTAAATCTAAATACCAAGAATTAAATATATACTTTGCTCTAATAAGAGTTTGATATTTTAAAATTACATTAATCAAGGCATGATGTTTATTTCACTACAAATAATGCAAACTGTTTTCAATTTAAAAAAAGGATATTGTTCATGTGTACTTTTAAATTCATATTGTCAACACTTTTTAATGTTGTGACTGAATAATTATCTGAACTCTATTTAAGCTATAGAAATTGCCAAGTCTGTCTCATAGGCTGGGACACCTTTGGCTTGAAAATTAGCATGTGCCAGCATGACTTTAAAAGGCAAGAGGCCATCAAACATGTTAAGTATTATCACTTGAATTTTTGTTGTGGAGGAGGGGAACCCAATATACAATAAAATTATAATGTAAAAATGTAAGGACGTGGAAAAAAAGAAAACTGGCAATTTTGTTTGGTTACCTACTTTTTTCTTTTATTTAAAAGATAATTTGAAATAGTTATGGCATAGCAGTCACTTCTGATCACATGAAATTATGAATAAAACTAAGATTTATGTATTTGGCTATAGGAAAAATTTCTTCTTTTTTTTAGATTGAATAGATGAGAGGCCAGTAGAAGATGACTATGCCTGGAACAGGATGAAATAGGCAAGTAGAGATTGAATTAGTGAAAATTTTGTAGGAAAGTGAAAATTTTTCTAAGGCCATACAGTATTATAATTGATCTTTAAGATTGAGCTAAGTTATCTACCATTGCTTGTTTTGGGGACAAGAACAGGACAGTTTATTGCACCATTCTTTCATACACCAATGGAGATTATTTGTGTGATTTTTTTTTTTTTTTTACTCTGCACAAAAATGTAAGGTGCTTTATCACAGAGTGACAAAAGAATCATAATGTTAACAAACTCAGTTTCCTCCTCATTAAATTTATTAAATGAACTGGCAGTTAGAACCATCCCATTGAGTTCCAATTCAGAATTTACTCATGTTACCTGCTTTTAATTTTTATTTAAACTATTAGAATTAGAAAATAAGGAACAACAGGGGTTAGAATAAGCTAACTGGATCTCCTCTACAGCCCAAAAGAGAATTATAGCTTTTCATAGGCCAGTGACTAGATAAATAGAGAAATCTGAAATAATTTGGTCAGGCCTGGAGTCTTCTCTCTGAGCTCCTTTGTGAAGGAACAGTGCCTTTTAAGTCATGCAGGTAAGTAAAGAGGAACAGTTCTTGTCACAAGATAGTCCATTCCTGAATCTTCTTCAAATAAATCACAAGTAAACTTGAATTTTCAGTTTAGTCCTGAAGATGAGACAAATCTTTCTTGAGTTATTTTGCTTGGGGTTTTATAAAACACACTCTAAGCATAAAGACATTTTGCAGTTTCCAAACATCTCTTCCTATCCCTAACTGATCAGATTAGAGCAACCAATTCCTGTAATTAATATCCAGAACTTTTAAAGAATTGGGTATTATGAAGCTAAGTTTATAAAACAATTCTAATATTTACTATTGTGAATGTAGATAATCACTACCAAAACATCACATCCCCTTGAAAATTAGTCCTGTACAAAATTACAGATGCTAAGTATTATAGCCAGATATTATCAATTGATTTCTGGCACTTAAAAATGTGCACCAACAATGTTTCAAACAGTCTTTACATTTTTTTGTCTGTGAAAGAATGGCCCAGCTCACTGAAGATCAGTTCTCCACATATTCGGTAATAATGCAATTTCAGTAGTCCATGCTGCCCAGAGATGTTGCTTTGAGTTTGCCTTAAATATTATCAAGTCTAATTCCTTTGATAACATGAGAATTCACTTACCGTTGTAAAAATAAGTTCAGAAGAAAAGCAGAAAGATAATACAAACATGTGTAGCACTTCATTTATTATAAAATCCTTTCACATCTGTATTTTTATTTGATCCTATCAACAACCATATAGTAGCAATAATGGTAAATTATATATACATATATATCAACCACATAATAATGATGATGAAAATTGTAGTAGTATCGTTATTATTATTACATTTTACAAAGGAGGAAATAGACTCCGAGGGTCTAGGAGTTTGCCAAGGACCTATTAGGACTTACAACTGAGGTCTTATGACTAAACTCCACACAGCCATACCTCTCTAAACCTTTCTATAAGAAAAAAAAAAAATGAAAATTTTAACTCTTGCAATTTTTGTTATTATTGTGCCATTTCTCTTCTACACATACATATACATTTGCTAACAATGGAGATGGTATGCATTTCTTGCAGTGAAGTGCAATAATGTGAACTGCACGGGTAAATAGCATCACATCACCTCTCTATAGTGTTATAGTAGCAGCATACCTTGCCTTAGGCTTCACTCATTAGGAGTGACAATTCATTGTTAGTAAAAAATAACCTTGAGTTGCTTTGTACTATTTTTAATTTGGCCTGACGCTGAAACCTGACAGTGTAGTTTTATCAAATGGTGGTATGAACTTCAAGGCTTACTTTACCTCCTAGAGCAACTATTAGAGATAGAACTGGTTATAGGTAAGTTATAAGCAAGGTTATTGATTATAAGCAAGGTATGAGGAGTTATAGCAAAGTTATTAGTTAATTACTAATCTATGAGAAATTTTAAGTCTACCTTTATAACTAAGCCATTACGTTAAAATTATTTAAAATATTTGAAATATTTTATGTAATAAAATATTTTCCTTATTCAGTGAGAAAGGTGGTCCTTTGTATATATCCTTATTCAAATAAACTGAAGAATCTTGTCAGTCACTTACTGATAGAATTAGTTTACTTCACAAAAATGTTAGAATATTAAAAATCTGTAGTTTTAATATTGGATATAGTTGCATAGAAAAGCATTTTTATATGTAGTAGTTTTAAAGATCATAGATATTTTTTAAGTTTCTATTTTCAAATACTCATGATTAATGAGTCATTATAATGATAAAATAACCATGGCTTACACATTTTATCTTCTCACATATGGTTTGCATGGAACCCAGGTTTTTCCTGACATTATTTTGTTGTTGATAACTGTTATTCACAACTAACCTATCAATTGACCTATTAATATCTATATACATGTATATATCTATATACTTAGATGTATACACACTGACACACACACAAATACATTTTCCCTTTTAAAAATTTGATTTATAAGTCCACTGTTAGGCTCCAGTGACTTCAGTATTTTGTTCATGTTTTATTAGAAATGCACGTGGTTCCTGAGGCTTTTAAACAAATACATGGAATGGTTGAAAGATTTATATTGCTCATGCTTAGCTAAATATGTCATCTCTAGAAAAGATGTGGTTTATTTTGGCACTGTTTTAAAAACTCAAATATTTTAAACATTTGTTAAGTTGGAGCTTGCACATTTGAACTAGTAGCATACGTTCCAGAATAGCTTCTCAAGTTACCAAACTTTTTGTAATCCTTTTACTAGAATAACCTTTTTTGAAGGTTTTTTTCTGTTCTTTTTTATTATGTACTTTAAGTTAAATTTATAGAGGTTGGAGTTATTATTTTTAATGTAGGATTTCATAAACAGAAGAGGACAATGATGAGTATTTATTTTTGAGAATCATTAAAATATTGTATACCATTTCTACTTCTTTGCAGAAATCTTATTTTTAAGATTTTTTATTAATTTTATTGTTATCTAAGTATAGTTTTGGAGTACACTAGTACTTTTGAATCCACCAGTTTCTTGACTGATTATTAACAAAGATGCATTTTAATGCACAAACTCAAATATCTAAAATATATATATATTTATTCATATAAAATCCCCTACTGCAAATCCTACACATTTCAATGCAATTCTTATACATTGATCTTAATCAGATTTATAGTGGTACAATCCTGAAGATCCTTTACTGGATATGCCTATAAAATATACTACAGTAAGAAGACCAATTAAATTCACCATCAAACTGTGTCTGACTTCCTTAACAAATTTAATAAAGATAAAAATTGATAGGAACAAATTTTCAGGTACTTTAGGAAACTTTAAAAACTATTTAGATATAAAATTATAACAATAAAATATTAAAGATAAACATTACTTTTGGTAAGATGGTTAGGAAGAACCTGGGGGGGGGGGGCACCTGGGTGGTTCAGTTGGTTAAGCATCTGCCTTCGGCTCAGGTCATGATCCCGGGGTCCTGGGATTGAGCCCTGCATTGGACTCCATGTTCAGGGGAGAGTCTGCTTCTCCCTCTCCCTCTGCCTCTCCCCCCTTGTGCTCGCGCTCTCTCTCAAATAAATAAATAAAATCTTAAAAAAAACAGGAAGAAAGAAAGAAAGAACCTAGGAAGGGAGATTAGTTCTCTTAATGGAACAATAATAGACTGATTGAAATCTACTACAAAGCACCTCTACTAATTTTGGAATTTGTATATGAAATTTTGCTGTAACCAATAGCTGAAATCTAAAAACACTGCTTCTATTCTGTTTAATTATTCAATCAAGGTAAAGTAATGTAAATAATGTACATACACTACATAATACCTGCAGGGAACTTAGTGAACTTCGAATTTAAAGCTTAAAGTACATGGCTAAAAGAGGACGAGGGTGGGGTGGGCAGTAAGAATCTTTGGGGCAGAGATTCTATAAACTGTTCATGTCTAAACTGTCACATCACAGTTTACAAAAATTGTTGTCTCACCATGTATGGTCTTTGTGATGTTGTTATCATACATTTCACTTCTACATATGTACACAATAATAACATTGTTATTGTTGCTTTATTTTTTTTTTAAGATTTTATTTATTTATTTGACAGAGAGAGAGAGGGAACACAAGCAGGGGGTTGGAAGAGGGAGAGCAGGCCTCCTGCCGAAGGGAACCCAATGTGGGGCTCAATCCCAGGACTCTGGGATCAGGACCTGAGCCAAAGGCAGACACTTAACGCCTGAGCCACCCAGGCGCCCCTTATTGTTGCTTTAATCACCAATTTTGAAGAAGATTTTAAAAAGTAAGAACATTATTTTATATTTACCCACATATCTACCATTTCCGGGGCTCTTCTTTATGTAGATCCAATTTTCCACCCACTATCATATTCCTTCTTCCTGACGCATTTGTCATGTATACTAATGCAAGGCTGTGAGTGATGAGTTCTTTCAGCTTTTGTATGTCTGAAAAATGTCTGGATTCTTTTCTTTGCCTTCATTTTGTGAAAAAAGTTTTTTGCTGAATATAGAATTTTAGGATAATTTTTTTTTTTTTCAGTATTTTCAAGATGTTGCTTTTTTGTCTCTGGCTTGCTTTGTTCCTGCTGTCATTTGCATTTTTATTCTCTACATAATAATGTCCTCTGGCTGCTTTAAAGATTTTTCCCTTTGTCATTTTTTTCAACCAATTAGATTAGGATGTGTTATGGTATAGATTTCTGCATGCTTCTGTGCTCGTGGTTTGTTGAATTTCTTGGACTGTGCGTTTGTAATCGATGAATTTTTATAAAGATTTCAACCATTTTTTTTAAAGATTTTATTTAGGGCTGCCTGGGTGGCTCAGTCGTTAAGTGTCTGCCTTGGGCTCAGGTCGTGATCCCAGGGTCCTGGGATCGAGCCCCCACGTCAGGCTCCCTGCTCAGCGGGAAGCCTGCTTCTCCTTCTCCCACTCCCCCTGCTTGTGTTCCCTCTC